GAGTCAGTGGCGGGGTGCTCGGGGCGCGGTCCCTCACTGCCGTCCCGCAGGTGGGGTCGCACCGGGACATCACGTCCGAGAGCCTCCTGCTGTTCCGCCTGCTGATGCCGCGCATCGGTGAGTGCCCCGGCGCGGCGCGGCCCCCCATCCCGGCCCCGGCCAGGTGCCCCCGGGCTCCCCTCCGCCCCCTGCTGCCTCGGGCTCAGGTCGGCCTGGAGCTGCCGCGGGGAGAGGGTGGGCAGGGCCGGCTGCAGGCCGCGCTCCCTCCCTCGCTGTGGCCCCCTAGCACCCACCATTGGTGCTCTGGGGCAGGGGTGTCGCACATGCTGCCCACGTGCCGGATCCGGCCCAGAACCTCTGTCCAGCCTCCTAGGTGCAGCCTGTTGCAGAGCTTAACCCCCACTGGCCACCACCAGCCACGGACCATTGCTGTGTTCCCAGACCCCTCGCTACTGTGCTGGCCAGGACGGCACCCCTGTGCCCTCGGCTGCATCCAGCCTGTGAGCACCCCGCAGTCTGGGTCTGACCCGCAACCCCGGTTGAGAGGCACCAGCAGGGACACCCTGGCTGTTCTGTCTCGGAGCTCCTCCTGCAGCCGTCAGCCGCCACTTGTCTGGTCCCTCGTTGAACCTGCCTGTGCTGCCTGCCTTCACGCCTCCCACGGGCAGGACTTCAAAGGATCTGAGCAGCCAGGGTGGGCCAGGACCTCAGGATCACATCTAGTCCAACCCCTGCTCCAAGCAGGACCAGCCCAACTACATTGTCCCAGCCAAGGCTTTGTCTACCCAGGTCTTAAACACCTCTAAGGATGGAGACTGCACCACCACACTGGGGAGCCTGTTCCAGTGCTTTACTATGCTCCTCCTGAGAGAGTTTTTCCACATATGCAACCTCAACTTCCCTTGCTGCAACTTGAGCCCATTGCTCCTTGTCCTGTTGTCTGCCCCCGCTGAGACCAGTCCAGCTCCATCCTCTTTGCAGCCCCCCTGCAGGGAGGTGAAGGCTGCTATTCAATCCCCCTCGGTCTTCTCTTGTGCAGACTAAATCAGCCCAGTTCCCTCCGCCTCTCCTCACCAGTCCTGTCTCCCAGCCTCTCAACCACCTTCACTGCTCTCCACTGGACTCTCTCCAATGTGTTCACATCCGTTCTGTAGCGGGGGCCCAGAACTGGGCACAGGACTCCAGACGTGGCCTCACCAGTGCCAAATAGAGGGGAAGAATCACTTCTCTTGATGTGCTGGCAGTGCTCCTACCAATGCAGCCCAGGATGTCGCTAACCATTTTGCCCTGGGGGCAGGGGACTGGATTTGGTGATCTCCCAAGGTCCCTTCCAGCCCTCATGTCTATGAAGCTTTCTTGGCTTTTCTGCAGAGCTGCTGCCCAGCCCGTCAACCCCCAGCCTGTACTGCTGCATGGGATTGTTCTGTCCTGAGTGCAGGACATTATACATGTCCTTACTGAACGTCAGGAGATCTCTTTTGCCCCGATCCTCCCAATTTGTCCAGCTCTGAATCCTAGCCCTACCTTTCAGCATATCTACACCCCCAGCTTAGTGCCCTCTGCAAACCTGCTGAGGGTTCACTCTGTTATCTTCTAGGTCATTAATGAAGATATTAAATGAAACCGGCCACAGGACCAACCTCTGGGGCACTCCATTTGATACCAGCTGCCAACTAGACATTAAACCTGATTTACACTGCAGCCAGCTTCCTGTCCACTGTACAGTCCATTCATCCAGCCTGTACTTCCTCAGCTTGCTTGTAAAAATGCTGTGAGAGACCGTATCAAAAGCCTTGCTAAAATCAAGGTACAC